GAACAATCCGTGTGTTTTTCCGAAAGACAACAACTACGAAATAATTCTTGGCTTGAATTGGACAGTTTAGTTTATGAGAAAAATTTAAATTAATTTCATTCAAAATAAAAATAACTACTCAAGCAAAAATTTCTTTTTATTGCAGTCAATGCTGGTTGCATACTGGTCAAGAACCAGAAACGTTAGAAATAGACGTCACTCATGCGGAAATCCATCGTTCATTCACTTGTTTCGTCATTAATCTGTACCAGGGATCCGTGTGGGGTAGGATAATCCTATCCCGTTCTATGACACTCTTATTGCTTGTATGAGTTACTCTGAAGAAACATTCATTAGTTCCTTTTTTTTTCTTATCTTTTCTTCTACTTTAAATCCTGTTGATTCTAAACAAACGGAAATATGAGAATAATGAACAAAAGGAGTTTTATAGTGTGTTTAGTGAAAGTCAAGAATAATGATACATAACGAAATTATGGTTACTATCAGTTGTTGAATCAAAGTCAATGGATCGATTTTTCATCGAACTATTTCGTAGAGTTATATTTCCCACCAGAACACGGGAGATGAACGTAAATTGTTCTTCATTGATGTTTGACACATCATATTTATGATCGCAAGTTGCGTTCGATGAAAAATAAAAGCCGAAATCATATACTGTGCTTAAAAGTGAAATAAATACAATAACAACTGCGAACAGACATAGCTTAATAGCTTACCGTTTACTCTAGCGAAACTTCTATCGAAACAGTCTTCGATAATCAAATTTGCTGCACGTTGAGAATATATGTGATATAAACGCTTTTCAATGTCTATCTTAAATCGTTCTCTGAAATCTTTACTATGTACTAGACACTTCATGAACATCGTTCGTTTCGAATTTGTTCGGCCTGTTTGATCGAAGTTGGTCACAATCAATTTACATTTATTTGTGTTAATAGGCACTAAGAAGGATACTTTATTTTCTGTTGATCGTATTCATCTGGAGGGTAATTCGTGGCTCTCATTGACATTGAAAGATTTGTTAGAAGATGATTAACGTTTTGACGAGTATATCTTGACTGTAAGGATCATTGTTAAGACGATATCGGCTTAGTAACAGATCTGAGGTTTTACATATGATCAACGTATCGTTGATTCATAATCAAATTGTTATCGCATAGTCGAAAGCTTACCTCAAATTCTATTTTTCTTTCAAAAGTAAAACTCCTTGTTTAATTTTTTTGCAACGATTTTCACAATGAAGACGCCAATTGTTGCAAAAAGCAGTTCTGACGTGAGTGCAAGAGTTAGATTATTATAAAAGGGGAGTATCAACCATTTCAACAAAAGCTAATGGATGATACACGAATAGTATTCGTTAATAAATTTTATGAAGCTACAATGAAATTTTTCAAAGATGATCCCATCAAACTCGATGAAAATAAAAACTGAAAGTAACTGACAAAAGAGCAACAGTTTTGCTTTACCTGCTGATGGAGATAATATTTACTAACAAAATTCATGATAGATCTCTAAGTATTTAAGTTGTATCCCAAATTTCACTGTCAGTGGTATATTTCTCGTTTTGAGCTGATTTTTATTTTCTGTAATTATTGTCTTGACAACAATATCTTTGGAACAGTTATGCTTTTCACATTCGAAAGCTGGAAATGCAATCGAAGTAAACTTATACAAAATGTAATTTTGAATTACACTCAAGATGAAATCAATGATTGATTATTGAATAACGTTGTCATTTGTGTCCACTATTCACTTGATAAAAATTATTCATTTGCTAGGTACCTATCGAGATGATATTGAAATTAATAAAGGGTTTTCGATTATTTTCATATTGTGTCACATATGCTACTTGAGTGTCAATACCAGCCGCATTCATTATTACTTTCTTCAAGATTTGTAATGATTAGCTTTCAATGATAATATTACTCAATAGAGAAAATTAGAGAAGAGAATATGCTTTGTATTGACGAAGATACAATCCTTGGTATCTATCTTTTGCCTTGTTATATCACCCATTGGAACTTCAACTGTTCTCTTTTTGACTGTCAGGGATGCTGATTTTATCGCTAGATTAATCTGATTTGCTTCTGAAATTCATCATAAACGTCCTTTTGTGTCTGGTTGTATTACAAAGGAAACCGACATAAGATAATTCACTAGCTGATGATAAACTTCCCTAGCGATTGTCTGAGCAACATGAGAGTGTCTGAGCTATGAATGTGTGAATGTGGGTGTCAACATTATCAATTGTTGTAAATATATATTGATTGATTAAACAACATATGTAACATCTTCAAAAAACAAATGAATCGATTAACTACTCATCCGTCAAAGCTAAAAGAGAAAAACCAATCAAGTTTCTTCCATGGAATTTTTCTTAAATTTTCTCTAGAATGTGAGTAAAGAGACGATACACTCCACAAGCATATACTCATCCAAACTCCTATTGAAGCACATAAACCGATACCGACATATGTTGCTTCTTTCTCCATAATTATAACTACACCACTATACTCCGAAAAAATAGTCCCGTTCTTGTCTCTATGTGCTTGATCTTTTATATAATTGAATTGGAACAAGTCAATAACGAGATGCTATTCTCAACAAACGAAGACTTGGTGGGAAATCTGTTTGCAAGCTCGTGATGTTTTGGTCAAAAATCAGAACAAATGAATTCACTTTTATTTCTCATATGCAAGTAGAAGATCATAAAATTGATTCTTTTTCTTTTTCTAGAATAAATAGACGCATTGGAAGACAAAAATATTCATGTTCATCTTTTCTTGCGTTTGTCCGTTTTATCCATTATGATTCGATCGATAGCATCATTAACAGCTTTTTCGATTGCTGTCTTGACTATTGCACATGTAACTTTGCGTGCGATTGAGTTCATATTTGCTGTTTTTTCGTTGATTTTTGGTTCGAGGCGTTCGTATACTTTTTCTGTAATTTACTTCTTTGCTCTGTCAGATATAACTTTTTCACGAGCCTTTGCGTTAACGCGATCGGCATTTTTTTTCGGATAGTCTTTCTAGAGCAAATATTTTATAAGGGTGTGGGTGCTGCTCGACGTATTTTTTTGATAATTCGCTTCTTTTCAATCTATTCATAACAATTTACATAGTACATTCTTATGCTTTGGAAAAGCTTAAATTTTCATATTGTTTACGAAGAACACAGACGACTTTTTCTCGAGTAACAGAAAATCTTCTCATGACGTGTTCAAGAGATAATTATATTCTTTAAATTATATACGAAATGCAACTACTAACCGCATATGCTGTTGGAAATGAAACGATTTGCTCATTGACTATTGTTTGTATCTCATTCATGAGATCTGCATCGAGACCTGCCGTACTAGTGGCAGAAGAACATATATCCATTGTTAACTCTTCGTTGAACTTGAGCTTGTTTAGAGGAGAATGAAGAATATACTACTCGTATAATTCCTTATCGCAAATCTATTTATAACTTGTTTCAATATGTAAGTTCTTTCATCTAAAATTCTTCTTATTCTTCCATATTAATATTGACGCTTGTATATAGCTATGCATGCCAATTGCTTACACAAGATTGTTGCTACACATCATTCCTTTTTGTTGAAATGATTTGCTTGGACTTTTTCTTCATCACTGTGTAATACAAATGTTAGTGTACTCTTATAAATCTATTTGACTAAAAATTTCAGATTTTGTCATAACACTTATTCGGAAGATATCAATTACTTCTTGAATAGATGATATTTAATGACTACTGTTATAAAATGTCGAAAGAAAGATCTGTTAGTACATCCTTTATGTTCAGTTGCTATTAAAAACAAGTGAACAATAATAATTCCTCATTACCTGTTTATTACCATTAGGTAAATCCTTTTTAGATTTATGAGTGTAATTTATCCTTTCATAATTATGAACACAGAAAACAGTATAAGTGTATATGCACTTGCAATAGATCACAAACATTTGCCAAGAATTATGAGCATAAATTGTTGATGAAAGGGCAGATTACGCTGATAAATCGAAAAAGATTTACTTTTAATAGTAATAAAAGAATAATGATGGTTTATTACTTTTCACCAATTTTTTTACAACATAGACGAACGTATCCTCTTTTATACAATATAAGGCGCAAAATTTATGCGTAATCGGCAATGAAACATAGCGCATGTCAAAATGTTAGAGACACTCTTTATGTTAGAGTAATGAAGTATCAGAACAAGCTAAGAAACTTCAACAAAATCATTTACATCATGCGATTGTGATCATTTTGATTGAGTACACTGCTCTGTATATATTTATAATACTTCAATGATTATCTCTTTTGCGGACAACTTCACATTTGGTGATTGGCAAAATCTTCTTACCGGTTGACCACAATGTAACAATTGAATCGACTTTTGAAAATCTGAGATTCTGACATACTCTAACAGTGGAGTAAAGCAGACTAAAGAAATTCTAGAATTAATTAAAAAAAAAAGTTCAGAAGTTTTGAATAAAGTCTCCTCAGTATCTAACATTTTCAAGATCTAAAGCTTCATATTTTGAAGAGACTTTGTTTGAAACTTGTGAGTTTTTTTAGAGAAATAATTCTAGTACAGTTCTTTATATGCACTAAGTTTTAGACCTAAATTCGAAAATATGAGTTTTCTGGATGTGGATATCTAGAGAAAGAAAATCTGTAGCTTAGTCAAATATCAATAGAAATGCAAATCCTTTTCAGTTTGTTGTTAGAACACTATTTAATATATTTAGACAAAAAACATCATTGAAATCAGAAAGAAGTAATTAACTGAAGAGATTTTATCATTAGCAGCTTAATCATACTTTATTATTTAAAAAAACATTTGTGTTTTTTTTGTTATTTTTTTGAAAACATGAGGAATGACGAAATCGACTAAAATCTTACTTGTCATTGAGTTTTCAAGATTATCATCATGAAATATACTCAAGTTTGATGACCATAGAAAGATTCAATAATATAAGATTTAAAATATTCTTCTATCAAATATATAATGCTATAAAAAAAGATAAAATATAAAAAATATATTGAGGAGCTTTTTTAACTCCATTTGAAGTTATAAGTAATGATCGTGCATAATCAGCAATTAATTGATGTATACGAGTAGTAAAATGATATTCATCAATAAATAGATAAGTATCAGGAGTTGAACATAATTGAATAATAGTATTATTTGATGTATCCCAACAATTAGTCGTACTATTAATTCCATATGTTGAACCGTTCATACGAACATTTGTAATGAGTGAATAAACATCAAATAATTTAAATGATATATTCAAATAATTCGATTGAAGTAATTGAATTGAATTTGATAGATTATTATTATGTTCAAGTGTAAGTTTATTTAAATAATCAGGTATATTTAAAGCAAAAGCTGCTGGATATGCTTGAAGAGGTGGTAGATTACCAATAAAAAAATGTTTAACACCTATTTGAATTAAATCATTTATTCCATTGATTAAACTTTTAACAACAATCGATGAAAATAAACTCATATTAAAAAAATAATCATTTCCACCAGCCCAAATTATATATATTGTTCGATCAAAATTAATCTTACTTAGATCCGTAACAGTTTTATATGTATTTATCTGTTGACGAACACCTGGTACTTTGATACTAAATGCTGTAAAACCTGGTATTAAATCATTATCAGTAGTAGCACTTCCATATGCATAATTAATAAGATTAGATATGCCTAATTTTTCTATCCAAATTTTTCCATTAGAAAATCGACCATTATAATAAGGTGGAACAACAGGCCATTTAAAACCTGTTAAATTATAAACATTTCCAGTATCGGAATTTGAATCACCAAAAGAAACTATTGTATCATATGGAATTTCTTCAGATTGTGTCATAAAAACATTGCATATTAAGATAAGTAAGAGAAATTCATAAGGTAGTCGATTGATATACATGTTTTAATCGTATAGAAATAAATGATTTTTACTATACTTATACGTTTATAGAATGTTATAAATAGGCAATGAATAATGTTGAAGGTAACGAAAAACAAGTAAACAAGGGTATATTCCAATTTCTATTGTATACCTACGTGCATTTTATGTATGACATATGCACACGTGAATGATTCATCGATTACTTTTAATATCACATGTATATATATATATTTATATAGATGTCATGAAAATAAGAAAGCAACCTATAAATGAAAGTAACTGCTTACTAAAGAAAAGACTGATTTGGTATTGATGTTGTGCATGAAATTAAAGAGAAATGTTTCATTCAACTATGATTCAAATGAATTACTTTAGTATGCAAAAACAAAGTACACTCATAGCTAATGTAAAATAGTAAACTCATTGATACAGAGAATTACACATAATAATTAGAATACCAATAGAACTATTTGAGAAGTTTTATATACCCATGTGAAAAAAACGGTCAAAAAATTAAATCAAAAATTGATCAAATACGTCTCATTCTTATAAAATTCAATAAAATAATCAATTAAAATAGAGTTTTTTTTTCTAGCAATAACCAATGGAAGCGAATTTTCCGTCAAATAATATGCTGCTGGTTTCTGATATACTGTCAGAGATAATAAAATAATTTATTTCAAAAAGAAAAAGATGCGAAATAAATGAATAAATCTAACTGATGACAATTTTTATAGTTGATATGCACGCTCTTAAATTTTATATAGTTTCGAAAATCTTTGCACTTAGAAATTTTATTTCATCAATTAATTAAATCGAATTGATTATTGCTATGTTGAAAATAATTAATATTGATTTTAATCGATTTATACAATAATTAAACCATCTCAATTTGAAACTATTTATGAGGAAAAAAAATCGATTAAAACTGAGTTTTTTTGAAATTTTAAATCTGATCAAATTCGGATTATCATTGATTTCTAATTATCAAAAAAAAAAAAAAATTATAATCAAAATATTTTTCGAAATACATACAGAGAGATGGAGTTTTGTCTCTGGGAATATGAATGATTTATCAACTGTTTCATCAGTAGATGTCTATGCACTAAAACATATTTTACACGATTTCGATGATAATAAATGTTAGGAAATTTTATTAGCGATTTTTAAAGCTAGTGAAAATCCAAAAGATACGGCAATGACTACATTGATGATTGAACATGTAACTTTACTGGATTGAACTTTAAGCAACTGGCAATCACATACATTTGATGTAGGAATGACTATTTCATTAGACGATACTCATAAAAGGACGTTCATTGATTGAAAATCAACAGAAGACACGGTTGGATAAGGTCACAAATATATCACTCCGTTATTTTCTATTTTGAATATGATAGAAAGATAGAGCTCGTAATTCAATACATCACTGTATATTTTGTTTTTTTCTTATTGAATAAAAACAATTTTCAAAGGCTATATACTTTTGAAAGTCTATGACCATTTCCGTTTCTATTTCAAATATAAATGTTGTTAAAGAGTCTTTTTTTAGACATTTAAAATGAACAACACAGAGAAAATTTTTTACAATTCACTACCAACTTCGAAAGATAGCTAGATCTCGATATGTTATGTTCTTCATTTTTTATGAATTATCTTATACAGAAAACTATTCATCTTTTCATTCCTGCTTCTTATACACTCAGCACGTAAAGCAGTGAATGACTAATGACATCTACATCGAAGAAATGACGAAAGCGTTAAAAAGAAAAGATCTTCAACATTCAAGCACTTTATACTCGCTTGAAAACGTTACAAGACCACAATACTTGCCTCACGATGAGTCCAAAGCACATGTCTTTATTGTTTCAGATGCTCAGCAATACTTCAAGCGCATATCACAGGATGTTTGACTAGAAATCCAACACATAAGTCATCAATTATATTAATATAAATAGACATGAAAAAAGTCTCTATCAAATATAATCGAGAAACATGTAATAAAAATAGTGTCTTCATTTATATTGTAACTTTAAATTGACAATTGTTTTTCTTCTATGATTAGAATTTCGAATTCTTTGACATTTTTCAAGGACGAATAGGTCTTTGTGTATTTTATATGTGTCTCATCTCAATCTGTGTCAAATATTGATGGTTTCTTTTGAAATTTTTTTGCATAACAGTTTGAAAAATTTGCATATTGAGTTGAAATCCATGTCAAACTGAGCTTACATGACAAATCTAAGTCTTAATCTAAAATATAGTGTATCATGTGAGGATGTGCCTGTGGATTTGAACTCTGTAGTCGTATATTCTAACATATCTACAGCAACATATTCTGCGACTTTAGGTCAGTCTAATTCACATTCACACTCAAACAATTTTTCAATGATGATCTTCAACAAGACTCTCAGTTGTAATCCAATTGATGTTGAATGTTATCGTTTTGTGTCTTAGTACTAAGATCTCTCTCCACACAATCACACATTCCATATCCACCAAATAGATAATAATTATATCAATTGCTAATAAACAAAATTAAATATAATTGAAACGATATCGTTACACACATATAACAAAAAAAAATAAACAAAGTCAAAGATAATCTTTGTATAAAATAACGAAAAATATTAAGATAAATAATTATAATTAAATTGATGAGGAAGTTAATAACTTCCTCATCAAACAATTGTTCATATTAAAATTATTAAATAATATCGCGATTAGAAAATGTCAATAAGTAAAAGTTCATTGTCTTTCTAATATCATAATGAAGATAATTGCCAAAAGTATAATTTCAATTAAAACAATAATAGATTGTTCATTAGACTAAAAAATGAAGCACCGATTTTGAGGCCATTTCCAAAGGCACCTAAACCAATGTTCGCAAGTCTACCTCCTCTTTCGATACCACCCCAATAATCCGTTCTACCATATTGTGTTCCGAGATAATTGGTTCCATTATAGAATCCTCCGGAATAAGCACCTGAATATTACAACAAAAAAATAAAAAATAGTTTTTAAAAGACTTTTGTAAATTGAACTAATGTGAATACCTGGCATGAACAATGATTGAGTCATTCCTGGATAACCATATCCATAATAACTTCCATATGGATAACCTCTCATGATTTGTCACAATAATTTTTGAAGATCGAAATTTGTAAATAAGTATTGTTTTAGCGAATGCAATCATCTGTTTTTTTTTTTCAAATATTTATATGCTGAAAAAGAGAGCTTCGGAATACTCCAATTATCACAATGATTATGAAATAACGTAAATATGTCTTTCATCGTTGTATTCGTGCATTGATGAAATTTCCAATTCTTTACTTATACATTATTTAGGAAATGACTAATCATGTCGATAATCATCGCTGAACATAACACAATTATATTGTCTCTTTGTTTATGATAAAAAAAATATCATGATTTACCTTTGCATAGTATTTCGTAGTCATCATATTGAATGAGAGTCAGGTTTTCTAAATATAATATAAAATGAGTCAAAAATATATGCGTACGTTTGATTTAATAGTAATTAGAAAAAAGGTTTGGTATTCAAAATACTTTTATTGCATACTAAGCGAATAATAGCTCAATGTTAATTTGCCACTATTAATTCTATTTAATATTATTATTTAAATTTTAATCGAATAAATGAAGACACAAACATCTCGAATAAGAATAATCTTATCATTGAATTCAATATCAAAGAATTTATATGAGACATAAGTTATCGATCATAATAATAATCATTTTAGTCAATACAAAAGGCATGAAAAAAAATCTCTGCCATAATATAACAATAATACATATAATAAAAGCAGTGTCTTTATTTATATTCTGCTTATTTAGTGAATAACATTTTTTTCTTGTCTGTCACTTATAGTTCGAATTCTTTGATCATTTTCAATGAAAAATTTGTCGTTAATCTTTCTCATATGTTTTATGTCAACTTGTCCTCAATTTTTCGTGTTTTTTTTTGTAATTTTTGTATATAGAACTGTTCGATGAATTGAAAACTTTAATTGACTTTGGATGAAAAACAAATTCATGACAATTTAAGTTACATTGACATATGAAGCATTGTCATTCGAGGTTATAGGGTACGGATTGGAATTTTTTATTTACATTTTCCAATCTATTAACACCTTGATAGGAGATTTTCATAGACCTTATTCTAGGGAAATCATAAACACCGTAGAAAAGAATGTGATGGTTAGAGTGAGGTTCTTATTGAGGTTCAAGGTCATACTCTAGCATTAGTCAAATGATGATTTTCAACAAGACTCTCAGTTGTGACAGAGTTGTTGTTGAAGAGTGTGAGTTTGGATGTGAGTGTTCATTTACTTTCACATGATTATATTAACATTCATGAATAAATTAATTTTTTCATCGTGCAATTTTTCACATTAGAATAATTAATTAAATATCTCTACATGAAAATATCAATAAGTAATATTCATTGTCTTTCTAAAGATATTCGTACAGTGAAATATACAAGGTTCCTCACATTTCAGTCATAATAACCAAAATCAAATAATATATTTGTGATCTTCGTCTGATTATTCGAGTATTGGCAAATAATCATCATTTACTTTTATTTTATTCACGGTGTAATTAGTCATGTGTATCATCGCATTTTTACGTTACACACTTAACTATTTTCTTCTTCTGCTATGAAAAAAATCTCACATGGCTCACCTTTACCTATGGCATGACACTAATATACAATGAAAATCGTATTATTGTGAAATAGCATAGATTAAATGAAAAATATATTCATGCAATTCATTTAATATTAATTACACAATAAAAAATTGTATTACTAAAAGCTTCAAATTCCTAAATAGGATTATTATATGTAAACAGAATAGTTATTAATTATCAATTAAAAATTAATAATTAAAATTAAATTATTGTTTAAAGCTTAATCATATAAACAAAGAAATATAGCATGAAAATTACAATATATCTTCTCATCATTCAATTCAACATTGAGTCATTGATTTACA